AGGGTGCTGTTCTCACGCTTCTGCACATCCCGGGTCTGTCCCTGAAAAACAGCATGTCTACAAGGGTCGACAGTCAGTGCCTCAAATTCCTGAGGACTCTCCCTTAAGGAGCGAACCACGGGTGTTCTTCAATCAATCTGCTAATGTTTGAGGACCTTTGCTATTATTCTTGGTTTTCTTAAGAGGGTCCATCTAGTTTTGTTTTGTTTTTTGATATTTTCTTCAGATAGAGTGGGGGGGAGAGAGAGAGAGAGAGAGAGAAACATCGACGTGAAAGGAACACATCGAGTGGTTGCCACCCTCACAACCCAACCAGCGACGGGGACAAACTGCAACTCTCTGGACCGCAGGCCAACGCTCTAACCACTGAGCCAAACCGGCCAGGGTCCATCTAGTTTTTAAATGCCCATTTTCTTCTATTCTGAACACATGTCCCTACGGGTCACTTTCTTTGCTTACACCATCTTCCCTTTTCTCCAGTTCTTATTTTGCGGTCAAAAACAAAATGGGCCCTGGCCAATTTGGTTCAGCAGTTAGAGTTGTCAGCCTGCGGTTCAGAGAGACCCGGGTTCGGTTCCCGCTAAAGGCACATACCTTGGTTGCATTTTGTCCCCGGCCCTGGTTGGTTGTGTGGATGGCAGCCACTCGATGTGTCCCTTTCACGTCGATGTTTCTCTCTCTCTCTCTTTCTCTCTCTTCTTTTCTCTCCCTCACACTCTATGTGAACAAAAATGGAAAAATGTCCTCGGGTGAGGATTACAAAACAAACAAACAAAAACCGAGATGGTCTGTGGGCTTCGCCGTTTCATTTTCTTAGGGAGAAGCCCACCCATCCTTCCTTCTAAGTGGTTGGAGTCACTGTTCCTGCCCGTGCCGGCAGCTGGGACCCAGACTGGGTCTGGACAGTTAGAGCTGCACACGGGGTTCGGCTCAGAGTGACCTTTGTGATCAGCAGCCTGCGGTCAGCGTGTCCCCCCTTGCCGTTCATCGTGCAGAGCAGGTGTGCTTCCAGAGATGTTGCCTGCGCGGACCTCGCCGAAGAGTGGGGGCTTGGTTCAATATCACCCCTACTCGCAGTTGATTTCAGGCAGACTTAAAGAGGTTTGGGCGATGAGAATGGCGTCGATGCCTATCTCATCGGGCGGGTGTGAGCAATACAGTGTATGTGGGAAGCCTTTGAAATGCATTGAATAAGATTCTTAAACCCAGTGGTCTTTAATCATCTCTAGGATTTCACATGGCCTTTCCCTCTTTCTATGCACTTCTTTACAAAATGCTTTCCTGCCCCCCCCCCCCAAACAGCACCCCTGGTCATTCTCTCCCCCTTGCCCAGCCGTGCTCTGCAGCGCTCCTGCCCTACAGCCATGCTGGAGTCTGCACCGGAGCATGTGCACTGTCTGTCGTCTTGCTCACTGCTGTGTTCCCAGAGCCCAGCACATGGTTGGTTCATATATGACAAGTCAATACATATTTGTCGAGAGAATGGGTGGTTATTGTTATTAGACAATCGTATGAATTAAGTTTTTGAAATTCCTTACCTAAGAACAGTGACTGGTTCTTGGGGGTCTGGCTGCGTACATTTTTGATGACCAGTGGCCTGGGAGATTGTTTATCTGTCACTGCGTTCTCTGGACATCCAAGGGCAAGGAGAGGGATAAGAGGAAGACTCGGGGTAGAACATGGTTAATTGCTGTCGCTCATATGAAATTTATTTTTGCTTGGGAAGGTGCTCTGACCTGATGTTTCTCATAGTGTACTCATTCTGTGTAATGTGACTAATAGAAAGTCATTAAGTCGATGTTCAGAAATTATTTTTATATGTAAAAAGTACTCTTTCTGGAATCTAGTGATTATTTTCTGACCCAAATAGTTCTTTTCCTTTTTTTTTTTTCTTGTCTGAGACACATTTTTAAATCATCAAATCTGATAAGAAAATGATGACTATAAGAACATTTTTTTATCTGAGAATAATTTCTTGGGAAACCCACAAGCGAAGAGTTGATGTTAAAAGATATGCCCCCCCCCTTTATGCATGCTAACATTACACTTAAAAAATTGCTTTGCTGAAGTGTAGTCTTTATTAATTCGTCCATAGTTTTCTTTTCTGCCATTGGATTTAGAAAAAACAAAGGTGCCTTTAAATGATAAGCATCTGAGTTTGCAAAATGATCTCTCTCCTGTGCACATTGTTCTGCTAACGCAGAAAACCTCAGAATAGGATATTAACAACACAGCTCCTGGGAACGAGGGCAGCATCTTTTCCGTGCTAACATCCAGCCCCCACCCGCACACCCCGAGACACCTAATCCTCTGCCTTCTGCTCCGTGGTCGTCAGCATCGGCTGATGATGATAACACATCCCCTAGAAGTCATTAAAGCAATCTATATTTAATGTGTTTAATCATTTTAGATGAACCAAGTCATCTTTCTTCTTAATCACTTTAGAGGCTGTTCCCTGAGCACCATTCAGTTAACTGATATTTTTCTGAGTGCCCAGACCGAGCTTTTAAGAAACATCTTTAGCTGTGCTTGCTGAGATTGTAATTTATCAATGGACTTCATGTTCACAGCAGCTCTGCGGGGATCCAGGGATTAGAGAGTGCTTTCCTGCATCACGGCAGAAGCAGCTGGAGGCTGTGGCTGGCTGCTGTTTTAGGTGTGGAGCCATTGGACAGTACCCTTTCCCAGCTCCTTCTCCGGCCCCAGACCTCGGGCTCCCTTTGAGAAGTGTGGCAGCAGCTCTGGCAGGCGTTTCATTAGCCCACTTCACTGACCATGGTGTCGAGTAACGTCTTGGTCACCACTGGATGATCTAAAACAGCCCCTTTCACTCTGGCCGGTTTGGCTCAGAGGTTAGAGCGTCAGCCCGCGGACCAGAGAGTCCCAGGTTCAGTTCCCTCTAAGGGCACTACCTCGGTTGCAGTCTGTCCCCGGCCCTGGTTGGGGTTGTGTGGGTGGCGGCCTGTCGATGTGTCTCTCTCACATCGATGTTTCTCTCTCTCTCTTCCACTCTCTCCCTCTCATTCTAGCTGAAGATAAATGCAAAAATGTCCTCGGGTGAGGGTTAAAAAAATAAAATACCCTCTTTCTCCTTTAGCTGTGAGATGAGCTAAGTGTTATCCCTTTCGCCCACCTGCCTCATGCTCTTCCAGTCTTGGCCTCTCAGCTCAGGAGGTGCCGGGTTCTGCACCAGGCAGGCACTGGGTGTGATACACAGGTGTATTCAGTCCAGGCACTTATTCAAGCAGGTTAGTCCAACTTGATAGGGTCATTTATTGGCGCGCAGATAGAAACCTGTTGGCAAATGTGAAGTTAGATGAATGAAGCAATAGCTGGGAAGGTGTGTTGAGGCCAGGCCTTAAAGAGAAATGCAGAAGACTCTTCCTCCAGCTGGGGTAGGGAGAAAGGGTGGGGGGCGCTGTCAATGGGTTGGCTCTTCTCATGTGCAGCCTGAGTTGAGCATGGACAGAAATGACAGCCCTCCCACCCTCTTACCCCTCCCTCTGTTTCTGACTCGGGAGTCAGCACACACTGTGAGCACCGTTAGACCGCGGTGCAGTCTCCCCAGAAGTCTTTCACTGTCTGATAAATGATTACTTTCATCTCTTCCTTTTTTTCTGCCATTCGGTGTCTAATGGAGCTGTGTCATTATGGAGTCAGACTCGTTTCCCTAAGGGATTTCTCCTGAGTATGAATGAACTAATATTTCCAGGAAAAATTCCTCAGTGTTATATCTCCTTGTGGGCCCCTCATAATTCTATTTTCCTACTAGTGGACCATAATAATTTCAATTTTCCTATAGAGTTTTGTAAAGAATTGCTTCTCTGTGAAATGTTTTATTTTCCAGCCATGTTTCCATTCAGAGGACTTTCTGATGACATCTTCGTAAAACAATTTAAAATGATGATTGTTACCTACGCTTGGTCGTCAGAAAGATATTGACAGTTAGGGTTTGGGAATGAAGGGAGCTAGCTCTAGATCTGGCTTTTTGAAAGGAGCAAAGAACAAAGATGTCAAAAGAGACAAAGATTCAAGACATGGCTTCTGTGGACTGCTATCGCTGGGAATAATTCTTATTTGTACATTTGCTTGCAAAAAGAGACTTACAGTGGTTTTCACTTACACTGAAACTCTCTTTGAATTTTTTGTAGAGTTGTTTTTGGCTTTTTATTTGTTTGTTTGTTTTCCTTTATTGATATGAGAGAGAGACAGGGAGGGAGAGATAGAAACCTTGATGAGAGTGAACATCAATTGGCCACTGAACATCCTGCCTGGTTCCCACTGGGGATCGGGCCCACAACCTGGGCATGTGCCCTTGCGGAAATCGAACCAGCTATCTCTGGGTGCATGGGTCGATGCTCAACCACTGAGCCACACCGGCCGAGTGTTTTTGGCTTTTTAAACAAGGAAGTACCTGCACAATAGAACTGATTTGACTTCTGTTATTTTTGGCCTGTTAAGTTTTGTAAAGGTGACCTGTGAGAAGTAAGTTAGCCCCTAACTCTGATGAAGACATCACTGCCTGTACGTATAAGAAGTCAAGTCTGTGGGTAGAGAGTAAAATGGTGTTGGGTTTGTGTTTAATTCACGTGCAATAACCAGAGATAGTACAGGCAAAACTTCAGGAAATGAAATCCACAATCTGAGATTTCCATTTTGTCCTAAAATGTCTGTGTCTGCCTTCACCAAGCCTGAGCTGTGAATTGGTGAGTTTTTCGTCTTACACCTTTTTTACCTGCTCTTCGTACCTCAGTAGAAGGTAGTGATGAACAATGGAATGCCCAAAGCAAGCAAAAACGCGCAGGCGGAAAGGGGGAAAAGAGAAGCAAAAGGTCAGGTTAATACCACACAGAATTGGAAGCAGATGGTGGAGAACCAAATACCCACAGAAGTAATTTTAAAAGATCAAACCAAACATGGAAACTGGTGCTCTGTGGATTACAACGCTACAGTACTGTCAGTCTTCAACTAATGTAGGTTTTTTTTTTTTTCTTTTGTAGAAAGAAAGGAAGGGGTTGTTGAAGTTGCTCTCTGGCGCCTCCACCAAGCGGAAGCCCCGAGTGTCCCCTCCAGCCTCGCCCACCCTGGAGATGGAGCTGGGTGGTGGCGATTTGCCTCTGCAGGGAGCGGTGGGACCCGAGCTGCCACTGGGGGGCGCCCACGGCAGGGCCGGCTCCTGCCCTGTGGACGGGGATGGCCCGGCCGCTGCAGGAGCCGCTCTGGCCCAGGAGGCTCTTCATCGCAAGACTAGTTCCCTAGACTCTGCTGTTCCCATCGCTCCGCCGCCTCGGCAGCCCTGCTCCTCCCTGGGCTCTGTCCTGAATGAGTCCAGGCCTGTTGTTTGTGAAAGGTGAGTTCCCTGTTTTCCCAGGACAAACCTGACAAATGCATGGCAAGCTTTATGCTGGAATATTTATTCTGATATTTAAGATATTTTTCCACACCCTCCTAAGTTTTTTTAACAAAATATGTAATAACAACCAAGCATTGGCTTTCTTTTGCAGTAACATACTCGAGTCTCTGCTTTTCCCTCCTGTGTGTCTTACACGGATTTAGGCCTCCAGCCTTCCTTTCGTGTATTTTAAACAGACAGCCACTCAGAATTGTATCGGGGTGACCTCTGTCAATCACGGGGAACTTGTTCATGTCTGGTCCCTCTTCCCACTTCTCTTCGATCTCAGCAGTTGCTCCCTTGTTTCTTCCTTTGCCTCTGTACTAGTCCCTGCTACTTGTAAAGCAGTTGGAGAATTCCACCAAAGAAGAGGATTCTCTTTTTATTCCTCCTGAGAAGGGTGTGGCTCAGTTCTCAGAGACCTGTCACCTCCTGTCCTTGTGACTTGGTTTGGTTACACTCAGAGTAATGAGCCTGTTGCAGTGATTCTGGCCCTCAGTACTGATTATACACGTGAGCAGTTTTGTTTGACGTAGTCCCTGGGAGTCTCGGAGTGCATCAGGAAAGGAAATAGGTTTTTCAGGTTTTTTTAAAGATATTTTATTTCCGCCCTGGCCAGTTTGGCTCAGCGGTTAGAGCGTCGGCCTGCGGTCCGGAGAGACCCGGGTTCGGTTCCCACTAGGGGCACGTACTTCGGTTGCAGTTTGTCCCCGGCCCTGGTTGGTCGTGCGGGTGGCAGCCACTCGATGTGTCCCTTCACGTCGATGTTTTTCTCTCTCTCTCTCCCTTCCTCTCTCTCCCTCCCTTCCTCTCTCTCCCTCCCACTCTATCTGTACAAAAAATGGAAAAATATCCTCGGGTGAGGATAAAAAAAAAAAAAAAAAGATATTTTATTTCCTTTATTGATTTCAGAGAAACAGGAAGGGAGAGGGAGAGGGAGAGGAAGATAGAAACATCGATGAGAGAGAACATCGATTAGCCGCCTCCTTCATGCCCCCCCACTGGGGACCGGGCCCACAACCTGGGCAGGTGCCCTGACCGAAAGTCGAACCTGCGACCTCTTGGTGCATGGGTCAGTGCTCAACCATGAGGCACACCGGCCGGACAGAAAATAGGTTTAATAAAACAAATATCTTCTATGAAATGAAGCGCTGTTCATTCCCCAGGGAAATAATGAAATACACTAAAAATCTTTTCACAGAATGCATACACATACTATACACATTTGTTTCAGAAAGTGGCATCTGGTTCATTGTCTCTACAGGCCTTCGGCCCTCTGTCCCTGCATTTCATGAGGAAAGCAGATTTGTCATGTGTAGAGGTGTTGCCTATTAGGTAGCATTTCCTATTACTGATTTGAAATCTTACTATTAAGTGTTATACCTTAAAATGGCTTAAATTCACCTCTCTCAGTATTTCAGATGTCCATTGTACCCACCAAATTCTGAGCCCTTCATTCATGTCTTTCTGGGCCTATTTTTTTGACCCAAAAAAAAAAACTGGAAAAGAATAAACTTCAAACAACCTATGCGCGTGAAGTACAAAGTATACAGCTTGCAGGTTTTTATAGTGAGGTGAGATAATTTTCTGTCATTGTAATCCTGATGAAAGCAGTTCCTTCCCCACTAACGAAACCATCCTGTCTTTCCCCTCCGCTATTGTGCTCTCTGTAAAGCTTTGACATGGTGTCCCGAGCTCACGGCATCTTCCATTCTGACAGCAACCTTTCCTGCCGGATCGCTCTGCTTTCCAGGGACGGAGCCTCGGTCCCTGGAGGGAGTCCAGTGACTTGTTTACTTTCTTTTGGTCTCAAAGGCTCCTCCTCTCCCCACCCCCAGGCATTGACCTGCAGTTTTCCCTTCAGGCCCTGAGTGCTTTCTTCTTTTCCCTGTCATTTGTGGCGTTTGTGTGACCATCCTGAGTGCTCATTCACTTGGCCCAGGCCCTGCTCTCCCGCCCCCATTGTGTGTTCCTTTTCAGTCGCCAGATGTCCTCCATCGCGGTGGCTTCTGCATTCCAGCCCCTTCTTCTGAGAGGGCTGGTCGCCAACAGCAGGCTCCTGCTGTGCCGGGCGTCTGGACAGGAGAACGGACAGGGGACAGCGGTTCGGGGAGCACGGGGCGCACATCAGACGGGGAACATGGAGACTTGAACGAGGGGACAGATGGGCACGGCAGTCTGGAAGTCTCTGGCATGCTTTTTTATAGAACCATTTCCACTTTTACAAGTAGGAAAGGGGCTTTGGAGAAGATTTCTGCCCAGGTTTATATTTTTATAGTCCACATGTTCCGGGGAATATTGAATGTAAAGAGCCGGCCTGACCAGCTTTTCACGGCCCCTTTGCCTTCATACGTTCATGGTGATAATATTTATTTAACTTGGAGTCTCAGGTCTGCCTGGCTATAAAAGCGATAGGAGCCCTAGCCATTTTTGCTCAGTGGTTAGAGCATAAGCCCACGGACCAAAGGGTTGTAGGTTCAATTTCCAGTCAAGGGCACGTACCTGGGTTGCAGGTTCGATTCCTGGCCCCGGTCAGGGTCATGCAGGACGCAGCCAATCAATGTATCTCACATTGATGTTCCTCCCTCCCTTCCACTCTATCTAAAAATCAATGGAAAAATATCCTTGGGTGAGGATTAAAAATAATAAATAAATAAAATAAAAACAATAGCAAAGATGCGTGCAAACAATTAGTAGGAAAACATCCTATTATTCACTGGGAATGAAACTTTTTGGTGACCAGAAAGCTACCAGCTGTATCATTTTTGATATTTCAAAACTTTCAACACAATAACAAGTACTTAATGCTAAAAAGGAAGGAACAGTGAACTTTCACATCAGTGTGATTCAGAATTCAGGATCTTAGATTCGTTGATTCACAATCTAAAGGTCAACAGCTCCTGCCCTGGCAAAGTGCGGAATATCTGCAGTTCTTTTGGTAGAATGTTTACTGATAGAATTTCATAGAACTATTTTTTAGGTATAGTATTGGCACAGCGTGAGATGGGATCCCTCTGCAGATTAATGACGAGAACAAGCATAAAATTTCTCCTCAACCCTTGGCCCTGTCCCATCATTCTAGAGTGAGAGGATGTGACGAGGGACGGCGGTGGGAAGCCTCCCCAAGACGGGAAGACTGAAAACAATCTCACAGTGAGGAAGGAGGAACCTTGAGGTGTGTTGACAGGTCTTTGTGTCAACTGAGAGGATTCTCTGAGGAACAAAAGGATTCTTTTGTGCTTGTCCGAGAGACTGAAGAAAACAAACAAGAAATAACACCCTATATCCTGGAGGCAGCAAATGTATCATTGATGACAGCAAAAATAATAGAACAAATATTTGAGGCTCTATTTTAGAGGGATTGAGGGAAAAACAGTCGGGAAATTGCAAACAGAAAGTGGAGATACAATATTTCAGAAGGGATGGCGAATAAAAGAAAGTGTATGTGACAGCTGCTTTTACCTTCTAAAAATAGACAGATAAAGGGCTTACAGAGACAGAGCAAGTCCTCTCTGTATATTGGTAGGTTTAGGAATTAAACTGATAACTATATACCTGTAAGTCCATGTCCTAAATTAGAAAAAAAAAAAAAACTATGATCTTTGGTCAAGGATTAAGCTAGAACACTTGGAAACATACACATTGTATAGAGATAGACTTTCAGAGAGGTAGTCGGCTTCAGCAGCATGATCGATTGAGAAGCTGTGGACATAGTTTACTTGGGCCGCAGGCAAACTGCAAAGAGAATGAGCATGGTTTCGCGAGTAAAATACTTGATTGGCTCTTAGGTTGTTGTAACAACTAACAGAAAACAGTGAATGGTTACCCACCCAGACCAGGGTGGTGGGCAGAGTGGCCCCCAGAGCCACCGGGGTCCAGTTCGGGCTATGCTAGGGGAGATTAGAAACAAAAAGGTGTTAGACGTGTTTACTATTTTTCCATTATTTTTACTCATGCATTCATTCATTTATCCTATTTTTAACATTGTGGTAAAATAAAAATGTGCCGTTCTTTTCATTTCAAATTTCAGTGGCATTAAGTTCATTCACATTGCTGAGTGACCATCATCACTGTCCATTTCTAGAACTTTGTCATCATCTCCAGCTGAAACTCTGCATCCATTAAACAGTAACTCCCTTCCACCCCCTCCCCCCCAGCCCTGCCAGCCACCATTCTGCTTTCTGTCTCTATGAGCTTGACTGTTCTGTGGGTACTTGAAATTGGGGATATTATCCTTTTCTGTGTGGCTCTAGCATAATGTTTCAAGGTTCATGCATGTTGTAATATTTGTCAGAATTTCATTTTTTAAGGAGCTTTATACAGTTTTTAAAAATAGTTTCAGAGTATAATTGGACCTTTCCTTCTTTGTCATTCAACGTACATATTAATATACGTGCCGGGCTAAGTGGAATGAGGCACACATGTGAATTGCCATCGTCTCACCCCTCAAGCAGCTTGCAGTCTGGTAGAGTAAATGAGGCAGGGATGCAGATGGCAATGATACAATGTAGACTGGGCTGAGTGCCATTCACAACACACAGAGGCCTCTGGGATCTGGTCAGGCATGAAATTACTTCCAGTCATGGGCTAGAGAAGACTTCGCAGGAGAATTGGAGCATAGCTCTGCGGGGCTGGCTGGGCAGAGAGATCGTCTGAGGGACCTCCCCAGCGGAAGGAGCCGCACCAGCCAAGGTGTGGCGTCAGGGAAGTAAATGTCATATTTGGGGGATGTGTTCAGGGTTAGAAAAGTGTTTGGAACATTGGTGGAGATAATAGTAACAGTAGCCATACAGAGAGACTGAGACCTGATCATTGAGGGCCCTAAGGACCAGTCTGAGGATTAGCCTTACTCACAGGCATTGAGAAGCTGGTAACAATTTCTGAGCAACAGGTAGTAACAAATAGAGTTGCCAGTTAAGAAAAATCAGTGTGTGCCCTGGCCAGTTTGGCTTAGTGGTTGGAGTGTCGGCCTGCAGACCAGAGTCCTGGGTTCGATTCTGGCCAAGGGCACGTACTTCAGTTGCAGTTTGTCCCCGCCCCAGTTGGGGTCGTGCTGGTGGCAACCAGTCGATGTGTCTCTCTCACATCAGTGTTTCTCTCTCTCCTTCCTTCTCTCCCTCCCGCTCTATCTGAAGATAAATGCAAAAAAATGTCCTTGGGTGAGGACAAAAAAGAAAATCAGTGTGTTCAGTGTAGGAAGGAATGGGGACCAGAAGAGGTTTGAGGTAGGGAGGACAGGTAGGTGATTGGACCACGCAGAAGGTCATGAGTTTGTCACAAATGATAGTGGCGGTGACAACAAAGAGGGATGGAGGGGGTGTGGTCTTTGAGGGTGGGTCAGCAGGGCCCATGGAGGTCACAGGAGAGAAGTCTTTGCCTCCTGAGGTTCAGACCTTCCCAAGAGCCCCATTCAAGTGAAGACACGCAGAATCCGAGTGCGCAGCGGATGGGAAGGCCTCCACAGCTGCACCTTGCACCTGCTGTCGGTCTGTAAACATTCTACTTGGCAAACCTCTCCGTGCCTGAGATAGCTGGCCAGTTGTGCCCAGTATCTGGCTCTAGGAGTTCATGTTAGAAATCGGTATGCAAACTCCCTCACGAGGCTCCAGGCCAGAATCAGAGCTGGAAGATCTCGGAGCAGGGGCTGTTACCGTGCACCTGGTAGTCTTCATACACTCAGGGCTGTGTCACAGTTTCCATTATGCACATGGTGTCTCGTTCCACCCCCAGAGGTTTGTAACTGAGCAATGAAATGTGCTCCCCCTGCGAACTTTGCAGGAAGATTATGTTCTTAGCCCAGCAGCAGTTCTAGTTCAAGAAATCTTGGACAAAATTGGTTTTGTGCATTTCGTGAAATGCAAATATTCATCTAATTCACTTCAAGTTTTTTAAGAACTATTTTTGTTTCCTTTTCCCTTGAAGGCAGCTCGCGGGGAACGCATTTCATCAGACATCTACTCTGAATGGGATCTGAGTCATTTGTCCCCCCCCCCCCCCCAAATTATAGAGCTTTGCTTAAATTTTAACTTTCCCCAAATGGCAACTATTTACATTGCTTTTTATATGGATTTTTAGTGTGTTGGCAACAGACTTGAGAAATCTCATCTGAACCTGTTCCTTCAGATAAGTTCAAGATGAAATTATTTGTGTTGCTCCTACACATGTCAGAGAAGGTATTCCAAAACCTTCACTACGCCATTCAAAAGTATGTCAAATCTAATTATCAGGCAGTTTTCCTTGAGGTCATGTTCGGAGTCTGGACCCTGGGCCGGGGTGGCCAGCGACTGCCTGGCCCATTCTTCATCTCCTTGGAGCACCAGACCCCGCCTGCTTTGGCCTCCACCAAACGTTCATAATAGGTGTGAACGGTGTGAGCATCACACTTATAATCTCACTACATTACACGGTAATAACTGTTTAACTCTCTACAGTCCTATTCTACAGATGAGGAAACTGAGGCCGAGAGAGCTGAGATCATTGGCCCAGGTTAATCTGCTCCAGATGACCTTTATGGCTGTGTCCGACCCCAGGCCACAGCTGCCCCCACAGTGCCATGCCTCTGCCCTCGGGCCATGCTTGACTGAACCCTAACCCGTGTTGTGTATAAATATTCACGTTTGAATTAACTGCGCCTTTCTTACAAACGATAAGCCAGACTCCCTGCTGTGCTTTTGCTTCAGATCTTGGAGGATCGTTTGCTCTGTTGCCCAGAGTAGCTCTGGAATTGTTTGGGCAGCCACCAGATCTTCGCAGAGATGCCTTTTGAACAGAGTAATAGCCTGAGACTCTTGCTATGGTCCTTCCTAATGAGAACGGACTCTGATTTTTTCAGGACAGAGATCGGTGAAGCTAGCACTCTTCTGGAAGGACTAGGCTCTGATGGGTTTTATGAGTTTCGGGGCAGTGCTATAGAATTTGTTCTGACTGTCATGTTTTAAGCCATAACATTATTTACTTACCGTCAAGAGTGGGTCCTCTAATCTGCTGTGTGACAAATCACCCCCAGAATTTCATGGCTTAAAACAATAAACATTTATTATCTCACTGCTTCTGTGGGTTGGGGAGCTGGGAGCAGCTTCTCTGGGTGGTTTTGGTGTAGGCTGTTTCTTGAGATCGCAGTCCAGATGTCAGCATGAGCTGGTCATCTGACAGCCTGCCTGGGCCGGAGGACTCCCTTCCACGGTGGCTCATTCACATCACTTGGCTACTTAGTTTCGGTGTTTGGAAAGAGACCTGTTACCCACCATGTGGTCCTCTCCATAGGGATGTTGAATTTTCTCACAACACGGCAGCGGATTTTCCCCAGAGCACATATGGTCCAAGAGAAAGTAAAAGAAACCACCTGCCTTTCATGACCAAGCCTCAAAAGTCACACACTGTCGTTTTCACAGCATGTTATTGATCACACTGTTTATCACTACGCGTTGTTGGAGGAGGCCACGCAGGAGCGTGATTACCAGGGGGCCAGGCTCACGGGAGCCAGCCGGGGGGCTGACTCCCATACATCACTGTGTACCCCTTCGGTGGAGGAAACAAGAGAGGAGCCAAAGGGGGCTTCGTGCTGGGGCACAGAAAGGGGTGAAAAGAGGATATAGAGCTTAAAGCAAGGGCCCCCCTCTGGTGTCCGTGGCTGCTAACCCTCACTTTGCAGGAGACCAGGGAGCATGGGAACGGGATAGATAACATTAAACCAACGAGGCTTCTGGGGGCTTTAAGTGATCATTACACCTGTCCTGCTGATGTCTGAGTTGAGAACCGATGGAGAAAGAGACACGGTTGTTCCACTAACGAGGATAGAATGTCAGCCTCATTACGAGCAGGGTTGGATCTGTGGCCATGGCTTCCCCTCCCTGTCAGACCTTAGGACAGCCTGCCCAAGGGAGAATTCGAGTCTGTAAAGCAGATGAACTTCCTTAGATGTGCTGCCTCATCCACGTCAAGCCCTAGGCAAGGGACACAGGGAGACCCGCAGATGCAGTCTGCGAGTCCAGAAGGCAGGCCTGGCCCCTGGCCACGCGGAGCCTACAGGGTGACGGAGAGGCAGAAGCCCACTGGGCCTGGAGCAGTCGGTTCAGACAGGCCTGAGCCCACCTGCTCAGCTGCTTCCCACTCTCGCCAATCAAATCCACTTCTTTCGTCTTGGAGAAAAGGAAGGACAGGGCATTTCCTCCAGGGACATGGAATAAAACTTTCCTTCTGTGTTACAGACATTCGCAGGGGACAAGGTGGCTGTCCCTGGAAAGGGCATTCCAGTACACCTGCCTGGGTCCTCAGCAGGGGGCTAGTGAGCACATCCGAACTGTGAACACCAGGTCTCTGCCTAGCAGAGGCCAGCTGAATTCCGGGTTGTTTGCAGACATCAGCGAAGCCAGGCAGCTTCCTGTGCTGTGCACGTTGGTGTCGCTGCTCTGAACAGCCTTAGCTAATCACCCGAAATCTCTCTCTTCTAGGCACAGGGTGGTGGTTTCCTATCCTCCTCAGAGCGAGGCCGAACTTGAACTTAAGGAGGGAGATATCGTGTTTGTTCATAAAAAGCGAGAGGACGGCTGGTTCAAAGGCACGTTGCAACGCAATGGGAAGACGGGCCTTTTCCCCGGAAGCTTTGTGGAGAACATCTGAGGAGGCGAACAGGAGGAAGAAGGTGTCACATCCTGCCCCTCAGCGAGAGAGCACAGGGCGGACTTCCAGACGGCCGGGAGACGAGTAAAGGACAGGCGCGGGACCCCAGCGCCCCAGCGCGCAGACCACGCGGCGTGGTTGTGGGTTCTCCACTCTGGACTCGGCTGTGTGACGTGTGCCTTGTACTGTCTGACTGACTATACAGAGAAACCCCCCCCTTTTTTTTTTATTTTAAAGATATATAGCTAAAATGGACAATTGTTTACAAGGCTTAACTAATTTATTTGCTGTTTTAAACTTGAATTTTTCTTGTAATAGATCAATTCTTTGGGTTATGATTTTAAGGGATTATTAATTTATGAAATGATAGCTAAGGAGACGCTGGGTTATCTCCTGTTGAAAGCAAGAGATTCTTTTTAACTGAGAATGAACTTCCCTTCTCCCCACACCGGTGTTTTTTTGTGTTTTTAACATTTGATTTTTTTAAGACAGAAATGCCAGCTATCTGATTTGGATTTCCTCTTTGGGAAACCAAAACATGCAACCGAATCGATATCAATAAGGACCTGGGGTCGGGAGACAGAAGCTTGGGAAAGGAGAAGGTGACGTTTGCCTGTCTTTCTGGTTCGGTCAGGAATCCAGCCCTAAGACCTAGTCCTCGATGTAACGTTGTGGGTTTTTAATTTTCCCAGCACGAAATCAGCGAAGCGATAAGGAAGAGTTAAAGCACAACCCCTGAACCAAAATGTATTCAGAAATATATTTAGTTTTATAAGAGACACGGTTTAACTCCTTGGTTGGAAATCAGAAAATCTCAAGTTGTACTCCTGTTTGAGAATGGCTATGAAGTGTAATTTGTCCGTTTTACCTTAAGTGATCTGCATGCCCAGGACACAGTAAAGCGTTCGTGAGACAGTGGTGGTCAGTGATGCACTCGTGCTGAAGTCAAAGGCTGTAAGAAACACTGTGAAAAGTTTACATTCGCCCATCGTGAGTCCTTCCCGCCCTTGTGCATGTGTTCTGGGTTCCCACGGTAACCTCGGCTGTGCATGGTCTGTGTATTTCATTGCCATTTCCCGTGGAGCCGAGTTTGCGCTCAGAACTGACCGATGCAGAAGCTGTAAAATAAACAGTCCTCTTTCCTCTCCCCCGGAGCCACTACTGACCAGTTTCTCTGAGTGCACGCCCTGCCTCCCTGGCTAAGGTATCCATCAGCCGTGACACACGTTGTTAGTGAAAATGGTCCTTTTACATCTTCCCAGCTGACGGATGGCAAGCGTGAGCCAGGAGGCCGCTCCTGGAACGGGTCCCTCGCAGCTCTGGGAGGCTGGGCGCGAGGGCGAGAGCCCACACCTTACAATTGTGGTGGGATCCAGCTGAGCCTGGCTTTTTATATCCATCCTTTGATGTCATTGGCCGCTGCTACGCGTCTCATTCCGGTGCCAGGCAGGCGTGGGTCTGGGTCGTCCCAAAAAACAAAAGGAGGGAAGACAGCCTGGTAGTGAATGAAGTCGTTGCCACAGTTTTCTCATGAGCAAACACAAAAACCTTTTCATTTCTTACTTTTAAGAATTACCACCGGGAAATAGAAGCGTGAACTGAAAAATCTTCTTGCGGCGGCAGGAGGTTTCATGGTCTTAAAAAGATATGTGGTTGAAATGAAATCATTCCCAAATTAACCATTTTTTTTTATAAGACACTGTACATTATGTTCCTGTGTGTTGAATTTTTTAAGAATACTTTACTGGGATATTCATGTAATATATAAAGGTTCGGTGAAATGAACTTTAGTTAGAAAAAAAGCTGACATCAGCTTCCATCGGTGTCGGTTGACACCAGTGTGTCATAATATTCTTTATTTTGGAAAATTAGTGTATTTTATAAAAATTTTAAAAAGTAAAAAAGACTACTACAGGTTAAGATAATTTTTTACCTGTCTTTTCTCCATATTTTAAGCTATGTGATTGAAGTACCTCTGTTAATAGTTTCCTGGTATGAAGTTGGTTAAAATTTCATCTGTTAGTAGATCATTTAGATAATATAATGTATGGGTTTTCTATTGGTTTTTTGGGGGAGACAATAGGTGGAGATTTTGTAACAAGGGCTGGTTACACATTGATAGGGTAATGATAAAACTGCAGTTGATCATGTTAATAATTTGAAGACTGGAGAAAAGGTTCACGATTAAAATTTGATGTTCATCCTTTATATGCCCCTGTGTCCGTCCTTAAAATTTTCTTTTCTTTTATTTTTTTTAACCTGGGACATATTTTACTTGTTTTCTACTTGATAAAAATTATCTGCATATGCTTCAAACAGAAAATGTTGATCATAGTCATTTTGGTGGTTATACTATATTTTCTCTCTCCAGCTAACAAACTTCATTTGGTTAGTTCCCCAAGAAGTTTTACAACTTCTTAAAAGAGTTTGTGGAATTGCACGAGGTAGAACACTTCTGCTCCCCTCTCTGATGGCGTCTGCCGCAGTCTGTGGCAGCGGGCGGTCTTGTGTTGGCCCTGGGTGGAGTGCCAACCTGCCAGCAGCTACACGGCCCACGGCCCATGGCCCAGCAGGGCTTGGGCACATCCTCTCTGATTCTCATCTTCCGTGGAAGGCGAACAAGTCGTCAGTTTAAAAGGACCCTATATGTCATTAAAAAGTTGTTTTTCCTGCTTTAACTTTTAGTTACTATCACATTACTTATCAGAATGGAAAATCAGGAATCCTAGGTTGTATCAAAGCTGTGCCCAGAAAAACTCTCCTTGTAACCACCTGGACAAGTCAGTTTCTTCCTGCTGCTGCTCTGGGACCTCCCTGGGCGAAGATGAGGAGTAACGTGGACAGCGTCACTGTTTCTGAAAAGTGCTATTTTAATATGTGGCATTTTCATCTGTTTTCAAATATTTCATCTCACTCCCTGGAGTATATGCATATAATGCCTTTATTGAGTCTAATTGGATGTGGAAGGGACAAATTAAGGGGATATTTCCAACTGCTATGTGTTTAGTTTTCATGCCTCCAGAAATGGTATTTCAGTCCCGAACTCTAATCATTAGAATTCAAGTTTAGAAAAGGCTTTTAATAGACTACGTTGTACGGCACATTGTGTGTGTCCATGTAAAATTTTTAGAAATGTGCTTTGAACCAATTAAACTATGTCCTTACCAAGGGAACATCCTATTGAAATTACTCCTTTCCAGGAAAAAGAATTTGCCCACCCTCCACAGTAAAGGAGAGGGTATTTACAAGAGAGATTAGCCAATACCCAGGTTTAGCAAGGGCTCACCCCTCACTCTTGTGAGCTCAAGTTGGCATGGCGGGGGAGGGGAGGTTGCTTATTCCTGGCAGTAAATCACAGGGACAGTACAGAGTTGTTAGAGTGGTAACGAGCCAGTGTGAACCATGACAGTTTTATTTATTATTTTATTTTAAATATGTTTTTATTGATTTTAAGAGAGAGGCAGGGAAAGATAGAAATATCAGTGTGAGAAAGAAACAGATTGGCTGCCTCCTGCATACCCCCTACTGGGCATTAAGCCCACAACCCGGCCATGTGCCCTGACTGCAAATCGAACCAGGACCTCAGTCCATGGGACAATGCTCAATCCACTGAGCCACACCGGCCAGGCAACCATGACAGTTTTACAATACCCTTTCTCTGGTTTACAAATGAATGTTTCTTTTGTGTGTCCTATTAATGACTTTCTGACTTGCCTCTTTCCATTTCAAAACTAGGAAAAAGGGGGGACATCTGTAATACATTCAACAATAAAGATAAGTTAAAAAAAAAAACAAAACACCTCCTTGATGTCACTCAATGCAAATTATTATTGTACTGCAGTGACCCCAATACCCAGGAGCCAGGTTAAAGGGATCTGCGACTGACACTCCTCTTTGAGCCTCTGCAGTCATCCAAGGCTGTTATTCGATCAGACCACGTTTAGCCTTAAGCCAGAAAGAGGATGAGCAGCAGTAACAAAACTAGGACCTTCTTCAGAGCAGGAAGTGTGTGCGCCCGTCAGATGCACTGTTCTCAGTCCCTGCTGGCACCCTGGCTAGAGGCTTTTCCCAGCTCTGAAAGACCCAATATTACAGATCAGTCTGCCACACCCCGCTGGCCATTAAATCGCAATACCTAATTGACAGCTCAAGCAACCTGATGGAAGTTATGAAATTACACTTGAATTGCTATTTAAATGTTTGGGCACTCAGCATGTATATATGTTGGAGCATAGAGAAATAAACTTCATCAATAGTCTGGCCGGTGTGGCTCAGTGGTTGAGCGTTGACCGATGCACCAAGAGGTCATCAGTTTGATTCCTGGTCAGGACACATGCCCGGGCTGTGGGCCTGATCCCCAGTGTAGGGCATGCAGGAGGCGGCCAATCAATGTTCTCTCTCATCAATGTTTCCATCTTTCCCTCTCCTTTCCTTTCTCTCTAAAATCAATAAAGGAAAAAAAAAGTAAACTTCAATATCTCTTGTGTAGAGCAGTGCTGGACAACAGAACTTTTGCTCTGGAAAGAGGTGGAAATGTGTGTCTGCTCTCCATTCTGGTAGCCAGTAGCCACGTGCGCGCTCAAACCCTTGCAAAGGTGGCTTCCGTGAAGGAGGAACTGAATCTCTAAGTGGTTCAATTTTCATTAAACTGTAAATATCCGTATACATATAAATGGCTACTATATTAGTGTGGTTTTAGAGAACAAAAATCTATTGTTAATGAGCGTCCAAAGATGGGATCAACGAAAATGTGGCCTGTGACACTGTATCCAGCCTCTGCTTTGGAGGCACCAAAGCACACGTTAAGAACACAGAACTTGATTGTTAGAACCCCTCCTGAGATATATGAAAACACCTCGACTTTGAACAGTAGAGATTATTTAATTTTGAATAGTTTCTACCTTCCCCTGCTCCCCCCACACCCCCGAAAAAGATGAAGCTAGAGATTTAGATTCAAGAAGAAAACTGGAGGATTCTGTTGAAGCCTTTTGGTGTGGCCAGTGGACCAGTGACTTCATGCAAGCAGAGACCCGCTCATTCCCCAAAGATCAGGTCTCCTCTCGTGTGTCTTGACTGTGACATTTTCTGATCTGGAATCCACGGAGGGTCACCAGGACAAACACAGGGCTCCCAGAGCCGTGACGAGGATGACTGGACGATCTGTCTCCTGTGAATGTAATGAACATTGTCTCAGCAGATTGAAGTTGG